CATCAATCACCTATCTGTCAAACAAGTTTTTCTTGTCTTTATGGTATTTTTATACGATCAATAGTTATCGTATACACATAACTATTTAACAAATATGCTATTCCAAGAGCAGTACAATCATGCACACTTATATTCTGCTTAGAACCTTTTCGCATGTGCGAAATTATTACTTATCAAGCCGACAAAATGTTTGTGGCTCCTTTGTCTAAAAATTGCGCGTTTCACATATAACTAATTATTTCTTTCGTCTATACATTATTTACGCAATTTTTCATGCGAATGCGTACTAAACTTATTTCCCTCCCTAAAAATCGTAACAAAAGTCAGATATTTTGCAAGTCAGGAATTTCGCGTCACAACGCTAACTCGTATCACTTCCTTAACAGGATGTTAGAGGATCCGATATGCTCGAATCAAATATCTCACACTGAATATTAATACACCATGCGCACATACCTCACTTCCAAACTGCCATTACAAACTCTCGCGCCGTTTGCGAAATTACTCAAAGACATTAATCTGCAACGTATAAATACGATGGCTTCCAATCCTCTAACTAAAGTCGCTAGACAGCAGGAATCAACGTGGACAGCTCTTCACAAACGCATTTCTGAAATGTCCTATAACTATTCCGATCTCTTTGAACACCAAGTGAGACAATTCGTCGAAAATAAAGCCATCGCGCTCGGTAGCTCTATTGGATATTTTTCCACGTCTACACTCACAACAACAGCGTTCATTTTGGCCAACAACGGAGCAACGATTGATTGTGGGACTCACCGCCAAGTACCAAATCTCTTCACAATGTTTGTTGGCTATCCAGGCACTGGCAAATAATAATAATAATAATAATAATAATAATAATAAACATTTATATAGCGCACAAACCAAGACTGTTCTAGGCGCTTTACAGTAATACAAAATCCAATCTTAAAAACTAGTGTTAAGAATGTTAAAACTATAGAATACATCATACACTATTTAAAAACAAGTTAAAAAGATATGTTTTAAGAAACTTCTTAAAAATGGTTAATGATTCACACATCCGAAGATGAACAGGTAAATCATTCCACAATCTTGGTCCAGCAACACAGAACGATCTGTCTCCGTATGTCTTTAGTCTAGAATAAGGAATATGGAGCAATTCATTTCCATTTGATCGAAGAGTACGCTGCGAAGTACGACACAGCATAAGTTCCTTCAGATACGATGGAGCAAGATCATTAACAGCTTTGTAGACAATAAGTATAATCTTGAATTGAATACGGTATTGGACAGGTAACCAATGCAATTCGATAAGAACTGGGGTGATATGCGCCCATTTCTTAGTATCAGTTAGTAAACGAGCTGCAGTATTTTAGACTCTCTGAAGCTTCTGAAGCAAATATTTGGGTACACCATACAACAGGGAGTTACAATAATCCAGTCTTGAAGTTATAAATGCATGAATAATTATTTCTAAGCAATTTCGAGGTAGATACTTCTTAATTCTTGAAATATTCCTAATATGGTAGTAAGCTGACTTGCAGATACCATTAATATGTTCGCCCAATCTGATCCACTCATCAAAAATCACCCCCAGATTTCTTGCTGAAACAGTTGGCACAATTTTTTCCTTTCCCACCATGATATAATTTAAGGGAGGCATCAGATGATAGCGTGAATGGACTAATATAAGCTCCGTTTTGCCACTATTTAGTTTCAATTTATTCAACATCAACCAGTTTCCCAATTCAAGTATACATTTCTCCATACGGATCTTAGATGATATTAAATCATCACGATCATTCGTTTTGAATGCAATGTAAAGTTGCCCATCATCAGAAAAAAGTGAAAGCGCAGATTGTGGCGCCTAGCCACATCCGCGAGAGGGGCAGTGTAGAGTGAATACAACAGAGGACCCAACACAGATCCCTGAGGTACACCACAATCAAGATCACTCAATAACGAATCAGTTCCCTCAACACGAATAAACAGTTTCCTGGATGTAAGGTATGAGGTAAGCCAATCCAACACACGACCCCTTATGCCAAAGCGTTTCGATAATCTTGTTAATAACATTAAATGATCCACGGTGTCAAAAGCCGCCGACAGATCCAGTAGGACAAGAATAACAGAATCACCGTTATCTAGAGCTTGAAGGATATCATTTTGAACCCTCAATAGCGCTGTTTTAGTACTATGACAAGGTTTATAAGCAGACTGGAATTTCTCATGTAGATGATTTTCAGTAAGATAATCAATTAATTGTACAGCAACTGCTTTCTCAATAGATTTCGAGACAAATTTCAGATTTGATATTGGACGAAAACTGCAGAATTCATAAAAAACCGGTACAATTCGTTGAAAATTTTAACGAAATTGTTTGAAACATTTTGCCCACTCACGAAAGGCCGCCATTTTGAAAAGGATAAATTGGGTTTATTACGGCAGCTCATTAAATGCGGGCACGATGTAAACAATCGATGTAAACTAATCGCTGATTGGCTTAAATATATCATGAATTGGGTCAATTATATAAGCTCTTCGCTGAATGGCTATGTGCTAACCTACGGTAACATCACGTTTAACAATCTCGTATTTATCTACGTAACAGACAGCAGAGGCAATGCGACTGTAACGGCGTATTCTGTAATCGAAAGCTAAGTTCTTCAAACTTGCGCTATCTTACAGTTCTATCTTATCTCGAATTCGCTAGGTGTCACGCGTGTAAACCTGTAGTATTTCGTCATTTCACGATCAAATTATTGTGTTTTTAACAGTAAAATGTTCTGTGAAGTGTCCATATTATTTTCTTAGTGTAAGAGCGGGCAACGAAGTTTTAACTATAGGCTTTGTACTCGCAGATCGCAAGCACATATTAATTAAACATGACATAATATCAAATGACACTTTAGACATACTGACACAAAATTTACTGTATGATTCCTCCGCAAATAATATAGCGAGAATGGCAAATGCATTTTAGAACATAACACAACAGAAATATATAATGCAACGTCTATGTTTGGTAACTTGGTTTTAGTTCACTATAGCGCAAACGGTAAGCTTGGAAAATCATGATTTTCGCCAAAACAAACAGTATTGCCCAATGCAAATTCAATTGCAATTTAATACGATGTTTATTATTGTTGCGAAAATAGCAACCTAGCTCATTTTAAATATTAGCGAAACTGCACAGGCAAACTGCAAACTTTCAGAATCAATATTTTCGAAAAAAAATTAACCATAAATCTACCGCGACAACCAATAAAATTTGACACAATTTTATTTTAAATACATATTGCGACGATGACAACAACGACTAAGGATTATATGAACTACACCCTCAACCACTATTACAAATTCTAGATGCATGGTGATATTTATAATACATTTTAAAGGAATAAATAGCTAAATGCTGACGTAAAAGGAACATCATACTTAATTCTCAATTTGTAATTCCTCACATGTACAGGCTGCTCACCAGATATTTTTCATACGTACGTGGTGCGTCGTACGTGTAGGAACGGAAGAGTTCAAACTAAGTATACATCAACGAATACACTTCAATTCATGCACAAAACTAGATGCTGTTCTTTCATTCATTTAGTTAGCTATTTCATAGTTCCCGCAAACTGTTTCTTTGTTTTGGACGAATTTATTCATTGTGTCTGCGCTGCTTTCAAAATGCGAATGCCAAAATGGCCGCCGCTACTGTGAAAAGTATCAGCCCGTATTGAGGACAACCAATAACGAGTAAGCCACTAAAATATGCAAAAGTAAGTTTAACTCACCGTTCAGAACGTGCGGATTGATCTATTCTATTTCCACATAGAAACCATTCGCTTTACACAGGCACAGCGTGTAGACTATTACTATTGCCTTGGACATAAAATAATTTCAAGGTCCTCTTCATTTCTCGGTTTTCTGCGAATTAGGGAACTGATTCAACGACGCACTTCCGTACTGGCAAATAGGCAGCTTTAGCAAACGCGACGCAACACCTCGTTTACTTCCGGTTCGAATCTATCTTTTTCGAAGCAAATTTCTTGTTCTCTATTCGCCGCTTGCATATTTCATTATCGTTTTCAATTATTTGTCAAGGTAATGTGCAAGAAAATGCTTTATTATGGTGAATATCAAGATTTTGTTAGCATCTTACTCGATTGAATAATAGTAGAATGGTATTGTGGACGGAAATTATCCAGTGGAAATTTATATACATTTATTAGACCTTAATCAAGAATAGATGCGAAAAATACAACTTTATAAATTTCCACTCGATAATTTCCATCTACAATACCGTTCTAATAAAATACAATACAATAGAAACTGTATTGTATTTTATTAGAATACTCAGTGGTTACCGAAAATATTAATATCGTTCTATTTATTCAATCGAGTGAGATGCCAACAAATGTTGATATTTACACATAACCTATACATGGCGGTACCCTAGTATATATACATCAACTTGTAGTTAGAGCTCGACTACTGGCCTACTGTAGCTCAGTTGGTTAGAGCGCTGCACCGGAATCCGCAGGGCCGCAAGTTCGATTCCTGCCAGGAATTTTGGGGAAAACTAAGGAATGTTCGGAGCTTTTTGCAAGGAATTCGCAAATTTGGTACAAAACCTTTCTTCGAAATGTGAACAAATTTTGAAATAAATTTAAAATTTCAGGTTTAAAACATGGCAAATGATGAACTAAAGATGGATTTTTAAAAACTAAAAGAAATGCACGCACTTTTTCAAACGGTGAAGCGAGAATTATTGATTTTGACACGAAAGAACCAAGCAAGGCAAGCATAAAAGTTGAACTTTATTAGTCGGTGGGGCCACCTGTGGTGCCCACCGACTCTAGGTTTCGGCACGCATTTTTTTTCGCGGATCGCAGATCTCCATTGTACACAAATTTCCATTATGACACGTCACGATTTTAAGGAAATTTGAGTATATTGAAGTGGAAACATGTGAGACAACGACATTGAATTATAGAACTATATTTAGTTGGAAAATTGAGGAAAATTGAGTATATTTAAGTGGAAACATTTGCGACAAGGACTCAAGATTCTCTGCTCAAGGAGTGAAAGCACAAAATATCGTGAATGTTTTTGTATAGTTTTCAAGGATTCAAGATTGAAGCCTGATAGATGTTTCACAGGGTAAGTACTGAATGTATTTTATCTTCAGATACTCTCTTCTCGCATGAATGTGCACATATTCGTAATAGACCTATGATTCATGAATACAAACATACCTTCGGGTACAAAAAATGCAAATATACCTTCGGGTACATACATGCATTATTCGTGGAAAGGCCTACACTAAAATATGTTGAGCGTTTTCGAACCAGGTAGAAAGCAGGCTTTATAGTGAATAGATTTTTGCGCGTTTGCCGTTTGATCCAAATATGGGCTAGCTTGTTAGTTAGTTTTGTACATAATTTCATGTATTTGTATCGCGCGGCGGAGACATCGGGCGCGCAAATGTTGATGCTTTCTATATATTTACTATTGAATTTTCGAAATCTCCGGAGCGTAATTTCCAAACTTTGCAGTCAGTAATAATATTTTGGTCTTTTGGATCTACATAAATTAAACTTAAAGTCAGACATCGCCTGCTTCTTTTGAGTCCTATTCCTATTAAATAGCATTGAAGGATCTTAGTTCATTGGGACAAAATGTATTACCAAAAGCTGAAAACGAGGAACTCAATTTCCTGATATCGTGTGGAAGTAACATAGAATCTTTCTTGGCCCAATAACATATATTATTATTCCATGCAGATTGCCGCCTCTTATTGCCTCTATACTGCACAGGCGCACTGGTATGTAGATTAGTAGATATGACTAAATCGTTATTGCTATACATAATACAGTCGCTTGGTAATCTCCTCTCACGAGGCATTATTGTATTACACAGACGTTATAATGTGTTTAGTTTCGACGGGAAGAATATTCTTGCCTTCCAGCCTTCGACGCACCAGTTGGTAACATTACACCAGCCGATCTGTGTAATGACAACAGGATAAACGCTTATAATTTTAACACATACGATAGATACTGTATACTATATGACTATTAAAACAACATTGCTACATGGTTGTACTTGTTTTAACTATTAGTGCTAACTGCCAGGCAAACTGCAAACTTCAAGATTCAATGTTTTCGGAAAAACAAACACGCTGTTCTTAAGTGGTATCACTTGTGCTTATTTCCATCGCCCCACCGACTTTACGCTCGGTGGAGCGTCTTGTTAGTATTAAAACTGGGATCCATATAAAAGGCCAAGTTACCAAGTATTTGTATTTCAATTTTTCCTTGGATTTCCTACCCAATTGGAGATGAAAAGGTGGTATTTCTAACGCCAATCTTGCATCCTAGGTAATGATATATTTAATATTTTCTTTGATATTAAATTGTGTAAATTAGCTTTTATAGCTCTTGACTCTTTGAGTGGCAGTACTCTCCCCTTGACGAGTAAAATCATTTGACGTCAGACAGAGTAAAATAGTAAAGTAGGGCGCATCAAGGTGCAATGCAGCTTAACACATTGAGTTCCGGCAGTACCCCTCGGGCCTTGACAAGGTGGAATAGCTAGTCAGCTTTGGCATGAGTCTGGAATGCTGGGCATGCCACCTGGCACCGCCCACCGCGGGAAACCCCTGTACATGTGAACTTGACCGAACCAATGTCAGAAAATTTTCAGCCAGAGTTTTGTGAAATCAACTGTAACTAGTGGGCACTTGGAGACTGCATACCTTTCCAGTGAATTAAATTATGTATCATGCATAAATTATACAATGGGCTAACAGTTAATTTACTCTGGCCGACAAAACAAGACAAACCTTTCTTATCCAATTTTCATCCAAATTGAACTAAAATTCAATCAATTTGTAATTGGGCAATTTCGATTAGTCACACAAATTTTTGTATTTAATTAATATGTTTGATGGTTTTTATTGAGTTATCATACTAACAGACAAGCACACACAGACACACACATATACAAACACGGATGAAAATATATAACCTGGCTGAGATATAATAATACGCTGATGAAAACATAACCTGGAAGAGGTTATAACCCGTGTTGGCAAATGTCTGGCCGCACCAGCAGCACCGCTGCCAGGAAATTTTTAACAAAATATCTT